CAAGTCCGTAGCAATTTGTAGGAGAGTCAACCAGCATCACGTAAAGCTTTTATGTGAACTCTCTGCTCTACTGACAATTCTCTACACTTTCTGGACTGTGGTATGACAACAAAACTTAATATATAGTGTTAAACACTGTTTTTATCAAGGTTTATTTGTGGAGTGCTATTAAATTGATTTTTTCTAGCATATACCAGTACCATATGCTAGCTTCATTCTATATAGTTAAGACACTGCATGAAAGCTATTTCAGACCCTAAGTTTAATCAGTATATTCATTCAAGCAGAACCCTTATGACATGCCCTTGGTACAAATATATGGAAATTCTAAACAATGAAAAGTATTCTCACCCCGGCTCATTCAATTATCAACAGGTATCACTGCAACATTACCAGTGTTAAATCTTACATCCTGTATTGGCATGGAAAAATTAGCTCTAATTAGTCCTAACACTTTTGCACAGTACTGTACAATACACTTCTTTTACAAATAACAACCTATATGGATTGCTTGAAGAAGACAAACCAATGTTCTGTTGAACCATGTAATATGCTCCTCCCCAAAATAAATCACCACACTGTGGTTATAAACCATTGGTTGCCAACATATTAGGATTAAAGCATATGGAACTTAATAAACTAATTAAGTATTAACAGTTGTTAAGTTAAAAATACCTTGCCTACCACAACCTACCTTTCAGATTGAGCCATAGCTATGGGAAATTTTTAACTCACCCGCTACGATCCGGTCACTGTTTTTTTCCTACAAGACAGTTCTTTATATGCAGGTTCTGTACGAGATCTGATATGTTTATTTCACTATTATTTACCATTTCCTTTCCAGTACTTTGATAGACTAAAGACTGCTTTTTTTTTTCATTTTTCATAAGTCGAGGAGAAAGAGAAGGTGAGCAGTGGGAGTACGATATCAAGATGTGTATCTCTAGAAATAGCACAATAACTGATATTCTTTTTCGTTTTGTTTGGTTCTTAAGAAATTATGAAGATACAATAAATATTAAAATATTTCAAAGTTAAATTTCTAAAACAAGGAATTATCAATGGAAAATAATTATAAACATGAGATTTGAACAAATGATATGTGAACTGATGATTTAGGATAGTAATTTTGATTTTCCCATTCAAAACTTACAATGCTTGAAAAAAAATGATGCTTATTTACTTAGGCAAAGTTTTATTAAGTAAATAATCAGTTTCTTTATTTTATACATCACTTTTACACTGAAAAATTATCATTCTTAACATTTAAACACCAGTAGTTATCTTCACAATAAACTGAAATTGTTTACATTTTTCATTATTATGTGACAAGAAACCACTTAGCAACACGAAAAACATTGTAAAAATATATATATCTTGATTTTCACAAATATCAGTTAAACTTTCTATAAAGCCTATCATTCCTAAAAAGATACATACCTTTTCAAGAAACATTGTGACAACACATATAACTCCATATGTAATTCAGAAATACTTAAACCATATTATGATTTTAATATATGCAAATAAACGTCTGTAGTGTAAAAGTCAATATGAATTACATCTGTATAATGTTATTATTTTTAGATATAAACTCTCATTTTAAAATAATTTACTTAAGAACCTTAGATATAAACCATGACTAGATGTTTTAATGGTTTTTTTGGTTGTTTTTTTTAATGACTTCAACATCACACCACACTGGAATTTATAATACAAAGCAGAAACTTGAATGCTGGTATTTTTTTTTAAATCATGTTAAAATGTTATAAACTATAAAACTTTCACTTTATAAAGTGTTCAATAATAATTTTACCAAGTTGTATACTACTACATCTTCACAACTAGTCAAAATTTTCTTTAACTGTTATTAGGTCTTTACGTTTACAAGTTAAAACCTGAAAATCATCCTCTTGTATCTATAACCATAACTAGATTTGGGTCAGTTGAGTAATTTATATTTTGTAAACAGAAACATATTGGATAGTTATTTACCAACAGTTTGATAACACAATCTGAACATATTTAACAAAATCTCTGTACTGGAAATTATGACTGATGTTTCACTTGAACAAGTAACGTTTTGGTACATAATGATTATGGGTAACAATGTTTTCTAACAAGCCACTTTCCTCCTATTACACTTGGTCATCAGTGTTAATTCCCTTTAAAAAATAAAAGCAGTATCTGTTTTAATAGAATAAATGTCTACAGTTTTTTAATCAGTGTTGATTCACATCAAGTTAAGTTTGGTCAAAACAAGTTTCTTCTATCTTTAGCACGTTTACAAAAAACACACACTTTGAATTGAAATATAAAATTAATAGCTGCTTACTTTGTGTTCATGAGTTAACTTTACTGTAGACTTATATTATCGAAATGTTCAAACCTTAAATTGGAGTATCACATTACACTTCCGTCAGAACTGGACGTTTAACTCAATCACTCATTACATTGATTAGTAATTAATCAAAATTAGGATTAAGCTAACTAATGTTACCAATATAGTTAACTAACTAAGATTAATGTTTCTGATTATTCCAACTATCCAAGTCATTGAAATATTGCTAATATGATTTTGAATTATTATTCTCAATTAATTCAAGGTTCTTTAGTTTAATCTATTAGCCATAACTCATGAAAATTATCAATAAATCAAAATTAGTGTTTCTCATTATTACTATTTTCACTTATTCCAACTATTCAAGTTTCGTAAGAATAACTGATTAGTTGAATGCAATCGATTAATGAACCCGACAATTAATCAATTAGCAAATTCCACTAATTACCCAGCTCTAATTTCTGCAATTGCTAAACAAATTAAATGCAAAACCTAACAATAATGAACCAGTTGAATGTTCAATCTTATCATCCCTTCTATCTTAATGAACCTGAACTATGTTTGTTACATTTTCTGTACTGTTACTTCTGTCAGTATCACCATATTCCTGTATACCTTCTTCACTACATTCACAATATTGTGAAGAATCTACACTATATAACATCTCTATAGGCTTACAATCCAATATTCACAGCTCTGTAACTAGTGGAGGAGGTTAATTCAACATTAATCATTTTTAACACTCATTCAGCACTGCTGAAGAAGTAACAATCACTAAAAATAACAACAACAAAGATAATATGAATGTAAATTTGCATTTACATATACTTATTAAAAGTGCACTATACTTTTCTTCCAAAGTCTCATTAAAATGAAAGGAATGGAAAAATGAGCAGTATTATGAAATGCTATCATTTAATTTTAACAGTTGTTATGCAAATCAGTAAATATTTACTTGTCAAGTGACTGTTTGTGAACAGTGAACATGTGAAAAAGTAGAGCATCTTTGCAATTATATTTTTTCTGACAAACACTACAGGAATGACACTTAGCCTGTTCATTCCAGGTGTCTTGACTGCTCCTTAACTCTGAGATGCCGAGAAGTGGTCCTAAAGTGGGCACATTTCCTTCCCTCTTCCTGGCATTCATGAGCTGCAAGAATCTTTGTAGAGCACTTGTCGCCCAAAGTTCTGAAAGTGACAGTTTCTTATGAAATAAAATCATTGTAGATGTAAAACAGTACATAAAACAGAAAAGTGACATTCTCAATATGTACATACCCACAAACTACTGATACAGTACTCTGTTAGGCCTAATGACATTTTAATTTCTTTCTGTAACAATCAATATGTACATACCCACACACTACTGATACAGTACTCTGGTAGGCCTAATGACATTTTCACCTCTTTCTGTAACAATCAGTATGTACATAACAACACACTACCGATACAGTACTTTGTTAGACCTGATGCATTTTGATCTCTTTAACAATCAGTATATACACACAATAATACATTACAGATACAATACTTTGTTTAGCCTAATGACATTCTCATCTCTTTCTATAAAAATTTCATTAGCTGTAGTGATTGTCAGGTTGATTTTTAGTTTTACTCTTAAGTACATAGATTACTCTGATTGGTAGTTCATATAAATTATTGATCAAGATATACAGAACCACAAACTATAGATACACTATGACTTTTCTTTGTCAAAAACCTCATCTGCAATATGTGTTTGTGATGTTTTTTATGTCTGCTTTCCTTTATTGGTTAAAATAACCATTCTGGTGATAATAAAATAAAAATGTGTATGTTGTATAATCACACACACACACACACAATAAACCAAATGGGAAAACATTCACACTGAAGAAAGCATGCAAAAAATTATATCAAAAACTAAAAAAAAAGGATAAACAGGAAAACTACAAAACATATATAAATTTATAATCTGCACAGATTTTTGTTTTGTTGATGGAAACACCTTTCATGTTGTTCAGATATTTTCACACCAACATACACAATTCCAAAAATTACTAAACAAACACAAACAGACTAACATTCTGCACGTTGAAGCATTTCAGATTTATTTTGCAAAAATAAATGTTAACTAAAATACCTATTAACATATGGACACAAAAAAATAAATAAAAAAAACACGACACATTGACAGTGAACAACAGTTTATTGAATTAAAAAAACCTGTACAGTAAATATCAGCATACAATACAGTCAGACATTTGTTTGTTTTCATACCATGCTACCTTTCAACATAAAAATCACATTAAGTGGACTAGAAATGCCTCCACTTTCAGTTTAAGGTACATCAGACCTAGTGCGTTTTACAATAAAATATGGTATGTACATTTAAACAAAAAATGGAAAAAGCAAAATGCATTTGAGTTTATTTGTTAACCCTCTCCCAATTGGTAAGTCAAAGTGCACATGTGAAAACCTTTAACAGAGCTGCATTCAAAATTTAATTACTTCATTATCAATGTATACAAATAAACTTGGCATCAAAATATAGTTATTAAATCAAATTGTAATATTACATAAGTTTTAATTTCTTGATTTTATAAGGAAATATTTAAATAAATCCTCAATCTCCCCTAGTATGAGAATTATGACGTGTTCTCTAGGTCTTTCCCCTTTACTACTTAATGTAAATTACTCATTATAATATAGATATTACTACAGCAGAGTCTAATTTTTATAGCCTTAAACCTTGTTTATTTACAGTCATAAACTAGAAAACCCACTTGCCATGAGCACCTATCACAGCCAATAATTCTCTCATGATTCATACAATATTGTTTATAACCAATAGAAAGACAAAGCTTTAATCTGTTGAGTGACATATAATGTTACACTGATTGTAGTACAGACTGTTATCAATTTCTTCTTCAGGTTGAAAGTTTATCTCGTGGTGTTCAAATTGAGCAATTTGGGGAATTATTTAAGCCCCTCTTGTCTCAGAAATCCAGTAAAATTATGATAGTTATAGGACATTGTTTGCTTTGTATGTTTTATTATTCTGTCTTCTTAAGTGCATTATTTTAGTAAATAAAAATGATTTAGTGCACTAAGTACCAACATTACCAAAAAAGCAGGCTTAAATTTTATTGGCAACTGCTAACAAAAACAAGAGGTCAAAGGTAAGTACTATATTTCATGTTTTTCATATATATTTCTTATTTATTGTTATAAAACAAAAATGTAAAAATTAGAAAAGAAACTCATTAGGTTATATTAGGTACAATAACAAAAATATTCTTCACAAGGTATATGTTCGCAAGCAACTTGTTTGTTACATCATTCAATACAGTTACAGCAGCAAAACATTCATCAAGTGATTTACAACTTCTGTGGTGGGATAATTGATTAGACACAGTTCAAAGGGCAATAAAACAATAACATTAAGTATTAATAGATGTATACTATTACAAGTCTTAAGCTATTTAGGACAAACAATTATACTTTTCTGTTACAATCTGTAGTCATTCTAGAAAGAAAAAAGGGTAATTTAGATTTATTTCATATTTTTTATGATGGTTACAAGGTTGGTCAAATCGACAGTCTGTATAAAGTTAGGGTAGGGAAAATAACAGAAAAAATAGTTTTTACAGAAGAAAAACATTTGATATTTATTTAAAAGGTTTTAGAGGTTATGCAAATGAAATTTGAAAATTATCACGTGCAGAAAAGTATTTTTGATCTTAACATGAAAATCACTTTGCACTTGGAGCAATCAACACTGACTCCATATGTTCACAAACAAATCTTTATTAACAAAACTTAATTGGAAAACCTGATTTTTTTGTGTATGAAAGATTTGTAATGTTTACTGAAAGTTTGCTAAGTTTCGTGAAGATACACAAAGGTTACAAGGTTGATCACTCACATGGACTTATTCCTTTCACAAAAGATATCTTCTACATGAACGTTACATGACAAAGACTACACAGTTATTAAACTTGTAGTAATGTAACACAGCCATGGTCAATATATAAAAACTGTTTCATTATTAAATTAGTACTAATGTAAAATAGAAATGGTTAAAGTATAAAAACTGTGCAATTATTAAATGTACAGTAATGGTAGTCAGATAGTGGATTTTCTTATTTGTACATTCTACTTTCACCAAATGGCTTAGTGCAATGTGTGTGTGATTGGGTTGTTGAGCTAGGGGTGTCTGTCATATTAGCAGCTTCTAGAACTCGGGTTGAGTTACGAGTAATGTTTTAGTGTAGGATTCCATAGTAATCAGTAGTGGGACTATCTTCACATGACTTTAGTCCTGGTAGAGCAGTGACTAATAAACACTAGTATAACGTAAGAGTGCTAAGTTCAAACCTGGTTGTTTAAGATATGTTTGTAATTAAGCACAAGGCTACACAATGGGCTATCTGTGCTCTGCCCACCATGGATATCGAAACCCGGATTCTAGCATTGTTATAACATGCAAACGTCAAGTTCCGAATTCCAGAAGTAGAACAAAAATAGTCGCAAACTAGGATGTAGTAAAAAAATTAATGTCACCACAAAATAAAAGACTAATAAACAAAATTTTTTTCCTGTAACATTTAGAAAATTTCTAATACCTTAAAAACAGATCAAACCACAAAGTTCAGAAAAAACACTTTAAGTAAGTGAAAATAAACTATACTATTTGTAATGTACAATTACAATATTACAGATCTTGAATGTGAACAAAAGTTTGGGGGAAATCTGACATAACATTGTGGATATTACTTTCAACTTACAATTCCTTAACCCAGAATTACTGACAAGGTCCAACTGGAACCCATCAGTTTTATTAAATTAATTAAGCACCAAATTTCCACTCTACTATGTGTTTGTTTCACACTACAAAAGTCTTTTAAAATTTTCTGTATCATAAATCCATAATTTTACACCACTAAATAGTAGAGCTCAATGTTTATGTTCGCTAAAACCATGAAGTTTTTTTTTTTATAAAATAAGCATTCTCAATAATAACGAAGATCTTGTTCAGAATCGTTAATTAAATGCAACTTTCTAATGAAATTCTAAACTACTGACAACACATTTCAAAATATTCTAAGAAGTCACATTAATAGACCTGAAGTCTTCAAGATCTCCACACTCCTCTAAAAAAAAAAAATCATATTGGCAATCTTCCAACCAAGAGGAATTCCTTTGTTGGAGACTTTACAAAATTAACAGTTAACCCCCCTTAAACTTCATCATCCCCTCTTTACAAATTAATTTCATTTTTTTTTTATAAGCTAGAAAGTTTTCCATTACTATAAGTGTAATTTTTCTCTTCATCCATTCAGAAAAAAGTTTTGGGTTGAAATAAAACTCTTGATAGGAATACATTCTTCCAATCAAGATTTGTCATTCACTCTTTCTCTCTCTCTCCAGTTAATTTCTGCAGTTTGTGGAAATATCCTTTTCTGATATATAGGATTCAATCCTTATAAACTATAGGTGTTTTCAATAACGACATCAAAAACAATGATTATAATGATGTCATACTCAAGAGTTCTCTTTGAACAACTCAATTTTTAACAGTACATCTTACCAAGGTGTGGTAAAAATAAACTAATATAATTGGCTCCTAGGTCAATCAATATAATATATATATATTGTAAAATAAAACTGAATTATCATTATACACAAGTTACAGTTTTAAATTAAAAGCGGTAATGCCACAACATATAGTTTGTAAAAATATTGAAAGTTTTTCAATGAAATACAAATAACTGGACTGGATAACAAAATATAATACTGTAAAAACCCTAGTAACTCAAACACTTTCAAAACACAGCAACAATTTCACTGAAACCAGATATCACAAAATGTAATTATAAATCTGTACTGTGTACATATATGTACATTTTTATGTGCACAGTTTACAAATCTAACTAAAAACAACTTTTATTACAAAACAAAGCTTATTAACATGTATAATTATTTATAAGAAGAGTATTAAAAGTATACAATTATTATATCAATTTTTTCTACCATATCCCACAATATTATGTTTAACAACATTCAACACCAATCTAATTTATGTATTGTAATAAAGCAGATTGACAAATAAACTAGAAATCAGAAAATGCCATAATATATTCAAGATTTTGATAAAGAAGGAACACTGTTTCATGGAATCAACTAAGACTTTACATATGAAGGTC